CTTATGCAACCATACAGTTCTTTAGCAGTCAGCTTCTACCAAAGTCCCAACCTGTGTTCTAAAGACAGCTTTTCCTGCCTTCAAACATTGTGTCAACCCAAAGAACTGAATCATTGCATCAGCAGCAATGTCATCAGACACTTAGCTGATGGCCGTGCTGGTGGAAAAAAAAAGAGTATATATGAATGTATCCCTGGTCCCTAGACACACGCTGATCAATGTCACCACTGCAGTCCACATTGAACACATCCTAAACACATGCACCCAAACATACATAGGCCACAAAAGCATAGTCAGACACAAAAACACAGTGAAATTCCCCTAACACACACACACACACACACACACACCATACCTACATAGAAACACAGATCTAGAGAGGAGGTGGGGAGGGGGAGGAGAACGAAAATGAATGGATGAATGAATGAATGAATGAATGGGAATACAAGAAGAGGCCCATTTCACCAACTTGAAAGGACAGTGCAATACTTAGATTTCATTCAAACTTAAATGCATTGAACTGAATTAGTTGAAGGAGAGGATATGGAGAAGGTGACAGCGCTAGACTAAGGGGGCCACAATTAATTTGGGAAATCGAGAAATAGACTTTGTTTTTCAAAAGGAGAAATTTGCGGAACGTGAGCAACCCCTATTTGTTCTAATAAATTCACTGACAATCAACCCAATCTCCTTAGCTGTGACAACCACCAGAAGCAGAGGTGACCCGGCTTTTTAAAACTGTGATCGCTTTCAGGGCAAACACTTTAAGACTTCCAGCGGCGCCCACAGAGTAGCAGCCCAATAAATGCTACTGAACGCATTTAGGCGCAAGTCTGAAGGGTGCAAGTGAATTACAGACATCAAACCTGCTAAAAATGATAGGTCGAACCAGAAATCATCACCGACTCTCAGATGTTATTGCAACGTATAAATTTAGCTTTTAAGATGAGAAGTTCTGGAAGTAACTGTGTTAGCCAACCTGCAGAAAGAAATATATCGCAGAGGAAAAGGAAATTTTTGTTTGCCAAGCACGATTTCTGGCATTGTGTGATGCGGCACTATTCACAAGGTGTCCCTTAGCGCCGACCCCTTCCTGCTCTCCCGGGTTCCCTACCCAAGCCCCCGCTGTCAGTGGCTTTTGTGGGAGCCTGTGTGTGTGTGTGGAGGGCCGGGGGGAGAACCCTTCCTAGATTCCCCGGATCCCGGGACCAACAGCTCTGACAGAGCCAGGTCGGTGCTTGTAGCGGTCGGTGTGCAGGAAGCCCTGGGGCTGATCTTGGCGCCCGATCTTTCGCAGCGCCGGGCGGCGCTCCACGAACATACCTCATCTCCTGCTGAAGATTCAGGGAAGACTGGTGCAGCTTGTAGTTCCAGCTCCCAGCATCTTCAAGGAGGTGCCGCGGGGTGCCTGGACTTCAACACGAGATGACCAAGCCCGCCGTCCCGAAATCCTGGCGCGCTAAGGCAAGCAGTACGCGCGGGGAACTGCGCAAAGCGTTTGCCGGAACCCTGTTCTTCTTCCGCGGACTCAGAGGCCCCCCCACCTCCATGCGCTTCGCCGCTGTTTCCTACTTGAGAGGGGAGTGCCACTCTGAATAACAGAGGGAGCCTGACAGCCCTGCAGGGGAGCGGTACATGTGGCCTCTGCAGTTCTGGGACCTGGAGAAGATCACCAGATTGGCAGAAAGAGGCTCTTTCCAAGGCCCAGCTGGCTGGTTTTTCTGGCCTCCAGGGCGATCTCATCTTTCCAGCCTCCTCCCTTGGGAGACTGGGTCCCCTGCGGGGCTCCATTTGGAGCTCCAAATGCTCCCCACCCCCGCCACCGCCCCTTGGGCCCACAATTTAAGTCCACTCGCCAATTGGTCGAGGGTGGCTGGACAGAGTTGGGGAGTCGCGTGTCAAGCTCCACGCAGGTCGCCCTATGAGCAGTGACCTAGATCCTGCGGCCTGAGGGTCGGGACAGTTCTCTGTGTTCCAAATGGCACTCGGATCTGAGCTTGTTCCTCTTTCTTCCTCTCTGAGGCCCATCTGACCAGCTGGGCTTCGCTCCCGGCTGCCTCCCTGGAAAGCCGGCCTCTACTGGCAACACCGCCTCACCTCCACCAGCCCTACCTACCACATGTACTGCCCACTGTGCGCCAGGCCTGTAATAAATTCTTCAAAGACATCATCTCATTTCATCCTCATTATGGACTTATTTTGTGGAAGACAAAGCGAAGAATTAAGTAATTTGCCCAAGGCCACGGTTTGGTAAGGAGGACTGGAGTTCAAGCCCGGGGTGAAAAGCCAAGCTATTTTCCGCCAGAGGCACAAGCGCCAGCGGCCCAGAGAGCTGCCTAGTGGTGCTTTCAGCAAAGCTCGGCGATCCGCCCGTCCCTGGGCTTTTGAGGCTGCGTGCCTGGCCCGCCCAAGTCCGCCCGGATGGGCGTTTTCCCTCCTTGGGCTGGGGAACCCTGAAACCCTCATAGAAAGGCATGACCGCGCAACCGTTGGGACAGGAGCCTCCAGGATGGCGGCAGGCTGGTTTTGGAGGCCTGAAAACCTCCTTGGTCCCCGAGGACAAGTCTCCATCAACTGGACCGCTGAGCCCCGACCGGTTTTCCCGCCTCTCAGCATTAGCCTCCCTCGTGTAAGACGGCGGACAGTCTCACTTACGTGGGTAAGGTCGTTGTAGGAAATCAAAGGAGGTTATTTAGGAGGAAGTACTCAGTGAAAGATCAGTGGTTAAATGAACAAGAGTCACATCAACAGCGACAGAGTGGGGATTTGTCAAAGAAGAGGGCTGGTCGGCTGGCAAGAAACCCGAACAATCTCTGCAGCAGCAGCTCCCCCGTCGCTTCCGAAAATGAAGATGGGTCAGTAGTGATATTGTGGAGGGATAACAACTTCCTAGATACTGAATCAAGCGCTTCACGCGCAGTCTTAATCTAACATCTCTGTGCGGTAGAACTCACCTCCACTTTACAGATGAGGAAATTGAGGCACAGGGAAGTTGAACAATTGTATCAGGGTCATGGGCCAATATTTGAGGGACCCGAGATTCCAACGCAGATTTCTGGACTTCAAAGCCCAGGCGGGGGTGGGGAGGCTGCAGGGCGTGGGCCGGGCTCCCTGTGACACGTCGTCGTATTGATGAGAAAGTTCCCCTTTCTGATCCGCGGGACTTTCTTTTCTTCCGAGGGGCAAAGGATTCGATTTCTCTCAAAAACAACAACAGCAAAACAAAAAGCAAAAACGTACAACAAAACAAAACCCCAAATCCAAAAACCAACAACAAAACCCAAACCAAGAACAAAACAAAATTAAGTCCTGCATCTCTTTGCAAAAGAAAATATTAGTAGTGACTCCTGGGAGCTAGCAGATGGCCTGTCAGGGTGGGAGCTCTCGGGAGGAGCCTTCGAGGAGCCTTTGAGTGAACAGCAGGGTTAAGACCCCGGAGGGAAGCCGCTGGGAGGAGCAGGTGGGCCAAGAGGTTGGAAGCCCACAGAGGCAGGACCTGTTTGACTAACACAAGATACACTGGGGCCCTTGGGCTCCAGGGGCTGGGATTCATCCCAAGCAACACTTCCTTCAGATGAGCCGCAGCGAAAGGCCTCATGGAGACGGCCGCTTGGGGAAGAAAGAGGAGACCAGGTCTGCGGTGGCCCTGGCCAGCTGCACGGTTCCCAGAGGCTCTGGCCAGTTCATTGCTATCCAGCCGCACTCCCATCCCTATGCCTGGGCTATCATGCCTACGAAATCCATCTTGAGAAGTGGCTGTTAAGTTAAAAATGAAACCAAACCAAGCCAAATAAAAAATCCACTCACTCATACACTGCCCCAAACCCCAACCCAAATGCGGTGTTTCTTAATTACCGGCTTTCCCTACTTAGTACCGAATAAATAAGTGCTGCTTTAATTTTGAAAATGAAATGGAATCATTGCACCTCAACAAAGATTAGATACAAAGGGAATCACTTTTCATCTCTTTTCACGTTATCCGTATTTATTAATCGTTTTCCAAAAACATCACCTGCCCACAAGACCCAGACCTTCATACAAAAACTGACCTGGAAACCACAGACATATTTGTAAAGAACTCTTAGGTAATTTAAAAACTTTAAATAAAAACACGTTTCCCAAACTCCTCAACCACATGTGTTTTCATCGTTTCTAAAGATGAGGAAATCAAACTGGCCCTGTGACTAGACTCCAATGTGAGTCAAGCCACCCTGCTTGCCTTCCACATAACCGGGAACTAAATACATGCCCGAAATAGAGAGAACTCAGGGGTCCATCTTTCTCCCCCAGCGCCTGTGCTCCAGGTTCACCTCCCCTTGCCCGCTCTGGAAGGGTTGAACCAAGCAAGGAGGTATACGGGACTATCATCTTACTGTGCTCCTACCCCCCAGCCCTGCTGCTGCTCAGCCTGCCTTGCAAGATCTTGTCTTCTTCAAAGGAAAGTGGTGCAGGTTGAAGGATATACGCTGGTGAAGTATGTGGCCAAAATGATTTAAAAAAAAGAAGAGGAGGAGAAGGGGAAGAGGAGGAGAAGAAATTATTCTAGTACAGGGGAATCATTTCACTGGGTCTTTGAAACCCCAGACATTTCCTTTCGATTGTTTCTAAATGTTAAGGTGGAAGCCTGAATTAAAATGGTTCTGTTTCTGGGCAGGTACAGGCACTGGGTCTAGCTTGCTTGCTGTGTGTTGCCGAGCAGTTCAATTTATACAGTTTTTGTTGTCTTGTGAAGAGTTGGTTTCTCTAAAGAGGTCTGCGGTTCTGGAGTGCCGGGGGACCTGCTCAGCAGTGGCATACATGACCGACCGATCTAATCATATCACCAGGAGAGGCCCCAGATGTACAGAAAACATCTCTTCTCCTTCCGGAAGGTCGGCCAGCATTTGCCCACTGGCCCCAATAGGTACAGGAGCCGGAGAGTGCGGCTTCGCCCCTCCTGTCTGGAGTGGGTGGGCACCGCAGTGTCTGCCCCATCAAACTACCAGGGCCTGTGATCCACACCCGGGGTCCGAGGCCCGCTCCCCGTCCTCTGTGAGTGGTCAAAGCCACCTGCAGGGAGGAGTTCCCATCTCTCACCGGGGTTCCTGCGGCCGCAGGGGTGCGACACTGGAAGGCTGTGGTGACGCACTAAGGCCCGGAGGCAGACGGCCCTCTCGGGCAGCAACGGGGACAGCAGGCGACACAGCACCCCCGGGAGGCGGCGGTGGTGGCAGCGCCAGCAGCTCCTCGCCCGAGGTCACTGCGCAGTCCTGCTCAGGCTCCACGTCCCCGCCAGCCCCGGCCGCTGTCCCGCAGCTGCGCTTCTTGTCCTCCTCCTTTTTCCACTTCATGCGGCGGTTTTGGAACCAGATCTTGATGTGTCTCTCAGTCAGGTTCAGCATGACAGCCAGCTCCACCCGGCGCGGCCGTGAGATGTATTTGTTAAATAGGAATTCCTTCTCCAGCTCCAGCAGCTGCGCGCGTGTGTAGGCGGTGCGCGTCCGCTTGTTCTCCTCCGGCTCTGCTGCATAGGCGCTGCCTGCGGGCCGCACAGCACGTGAGTGTGGTCGCCCGACCCCTGGCTCCTCCTGCCCTACCCTCACCCAAGAAGCCCAACCTTTCAGCCCCAATCCTAGGAGCTCTGCCCCCCACCCAGCCGCTCCCACCTCCAAGAGCTCCTACCCCAGAGCCTAGTGTGGGCCTCTTAGCCTTCCTAGAAAGTCGCCTTTTCTGGGAGGTCAAGGGCGCAGCCGCTCAGTGACCCTGCGGTAGGTTCTATCAACAAATGGTTCTTGAATGGTTTCTCTTAATTGGTGCTGGTGTTGATGCTGATTAAAATGCACTTAATATAGATATCTAAACCTACTAGATCCCACAAAACAATAAAATGTCTTTGATACAGGACTTTGAAAAAATAAACTTTCTGACGATGACCCACGGTAAGAAATACATTTCAGATCACTACCCAGTTCACACAGTGATATATAACTGACAAAAAATTTCAGGACATGAAATCAACCTTTACCACATATTGATGCTATCTAATTTTTCCTATTGTTCACTATTTCATTTTTTAAAAAGGTCTCAAACAAGTAAATTGGTTTCACGACCAAAGAAGTGTAAACCCTGTTTGAAAAACCTTGAGCTAATACAAACTCTGAGAAACCTTGAGATAATACAGCAAATATATGTTATAATATTGTCATATCTGACCATTATATTAGCTCTTTCTGTAGTTACATTGTAACCAGCCCCAACTCAAGAGCTAGTAAATTTTCTGTAATTGTCATTATTTTAATCTAGGCAGGGACCCTGCCCTGGAAAAGAAGGGAAACTATTCTGGGCCCCTGGGAAGGTAACTATGAGCCTCAGCCTCTGTGTCCTGGACCCCAAATCCTGGCAGAGGGGGAGAGGAGAAGCTTAGAGGCCTGGGCCCCCCCAAGGAGCTGAGAACCCCGCGGAGGAGGGAAAGGGAGTGGTGGTGGTGGGGCTCCCAGCTCCTAGTCGGGGTCTTGGGGGCAGCCCCACCTGACCCGGTAGATCAGCGCCAAACACCCAGTGTTCGCCACCCAGCTCCTCGAGGTCCCTGTCTTTTCCTTTCTATACGAGATACTAACCGCACTTGGCCAGAAGATTCTGGCGTGGTAAGTTCTACCAAAACTCCGGAAAGAGGCTTCCATCTTTCTGTGTTGGGGCCGGGGTATGGAACATTTCCCCTGTGACTGTTGGCTAGGCCTTAGGGAGTTGAAAAGCTAGTGTGTGTGTTTTCGGGGGGAGGGTTAATTACGTAATGGAATCTGCTGGGTTTGCCCCTCAGGCGAAAACTTGGCTCCTAGGAGCCAAGGCAGAGGCTCGCTCAGGCCTGAGTTAGCAGAGGAGCTGCACCGCGCAGGGCTTCTCCAGGGCTTACACTTCCAAGCCTTCTTTGGCCTGGGAGAGAAGTGCAGAACCTTAAAGGGACATAAAAAAGGGCCCTCCAAGCCGACCTCACCAAGGTGCTGTGAGAGGCTGTACTGTGGTTACTATTCCAGGAGACTTGTGCCCAGGAGCAGTTGGCAGGAGATGGAGGCTGAGGAAGAGGGTGTAGATGGTGTTACTGGGAAGATAGCAAGGCCTGGGTGAAGAGATTAGGGCAAGCCGGCCAGTGAGGCTGCGGCGGTTCACTTTTTGGGTAGAGGTTTTCAGAAGTCCCTGTTGGCCGTTAGTATTCATAGCCGTACTACAAATGTAAGCCCTTTGGACACTTGGCTCTCCCCAGGAGCGTGAAACAGCACTAGGAGAGGGCAGGCAGGTTCACAGACCCTTGAATTTCGGCTCCTTTGAAAATTTCCGGGAAGGACCATGGACGGCAGCAGCACCCCCAAGCAGCTTTCTGGAAAGGGGGGTCAGCCCCTTCCCGGTGGGCTGAGCCTGCAGTGGGTCACAGGGCGCTGGCAGAGGCTTCTCCAGCCCGGACGCTCCCGCCGGAGGATATCACCCTTACAGGGTCCCTCCATGCCCTGGTGTGGCTGTCAATTTTCATTTGGATTTTACTTGCTGGCTCCACCAAGTATTTTTACTTGCTTGGGTCCACCGGGGCCCAAGCTCCACCAGAGCTGAGGTAACAGCCTTGGAAGGGTAGGAAATTTACCCCACCTCAGGGCCTCCCTCACGTTTTTTTCCTGAAGAAGCCGCCAGAAGGGCCCAGTAGGCCCGAAACGCGCGTTCCCAGCGCGCTGCGGGAAGGGAGCCCTGGAGAGACCGCAGCTCGTGGCAGGAAACTAAGGGCTGACAGTTCCTCACTCCAGATCGAAGGATGCAATTCTCCCACCTCCCCCGACTCCACGGCCTGAGGCCCTGAAGCGCAGGTTGGGTAAGTACACACTGGCGCCCCACACATCTAGCGCCCCCTTGGGCGGGGGTTTCACCCGAGGTGGGGAAGATTGAGATGGAGTTGGGCTCCTGTCCAGCCTCAACTCAGGATCCTCACATTCAGCTTTCGTAAGAAAGTGAACAAGGAGAGGCGAGCTCGGGGACCCTGGGCTAGCCGAGATACCCCCAAAGCCCTGCTTGGCTGCTCCAGGGTCAGGGTCAGGCCCGGCAGGCCAGACGCCGCAGACAGGGCGCTGGGGATCCTCAGGGGGCGCCAGCTAGGGCCTCTCCCCCTACTTTCAACTGTGAGTTGGAAGGAAAGAAAGCCAACTATTTGCAATGCAGGTGTGACCAGAAGCGGCTGCGGCACGGAAGCGATAACATTGTGTGGTGGGGGCAGCACAGGCCGCGCCGGAAATCGCGGCCAGCTCGGGGCGGGTAAGGGAGACGAGGGGCTGCTTCGCTCTCCGCCTCCCGGCTCAGGGAAGAACTTCTGTTACCCGCCACGGCCCAGGGCCGTGGAGACCCAGGACTCGGCTGTGCAGGAAGGGCATGTCCTTCCTCAAACCTACTTCCTGGAAGAAGCGCAAGGAGACCCCTTCAAACGCCTGTGTTTGGTCAAAAGTGAATTAGCATCGCAGACGCCTGGCCCAGCTGCCTGGCTCCAGGTGAGCGGCGGGTCCTGGGCCTTGCGGAGGCCCCTGCCTTGCCTCAGGCCCTCCCTGGCGCCCCGCATGCGCCGGACACCTCTGAAGGTTTGGGCGCGGTTTTCTTTCCCTGCTTTCCTGCATCTACTGGGTGCCCCTGACTACCTGCCCAGCTCTAAGGAAGCTGCCGGGCTCCGCAGGCGCGCTCAGGCTAGTCAGTGACATCCCGAGCCTTGCTCGGCTTCCTCTACGCGCACTCCCAGGGATTCTCCGCTGGAGGAGGCCGAGGGTCCGAAGCCTTGAGCTTGGCGAGGCCTTGGCTCGCTGGCAGCGCGGGGCTCCTGGAGTGCAGCGTGCAGGGAAGGAAGAGGTTTAAGCTCCCAGGAGGAGAGCTGAGTGGCAAAGACGCTGCAGACTGGACCAGAAAAGCGCGTCCGTGCAGGATGGTCTGATTGGGTCTGACCCCGCATTATCTGTAGGGGCCCGGAACGCTAACTGGGAGAGGTCCTGAGTAGCGCTGGGTAGTAGGGGCAGCCCGGCGAGAGCCGGTGAGGACAGAGGGGCCAGACAGCCAGGCTTACCTGCCCACTGGCCTTTCCACGCGTGAGCCTTGGTAGACTTCATCCACGGGAAAGGCAGTTGAATGCGGTTGGGCTCCTCCAGGGCGCCTGGCTCGGTTCCATCCGGGAAGGGCCCGGCGGGCGGGTGGGGGAGCGCGAGCTGAGCCGGGAGGTGGTGGTGGAGGTGCACCACCGCGGGGTCGTCGGCGAGGGGGGGCACCTCGTACGGGGATATGTCCGGCGGGCTGCCCTGCTCCAGCGCGCCCAGGGCGCCGGGAAACGGAGGCGGCGGCGGCGGCGGGGGCTGGCGGCCCATGTACAGGCACGCGGGGGGGCTGGCGCTAAATTCCGGCGCGGGACCCCGCTGGAACGCGCACGGGTCCTTGTAAAGCTGAGTGGCCGCGTAGTACTGCTCCTCACCGTTCATGGCTGCCGCCCGGGCTTGGGGACCCGGAGTAGGGAGCTGGAGCCGGGGACTTGGATCTGTGCGGCTCTCCTACTCCTGGCGCCACCCCTGCTCGCTTTGACAGCTCTGCACTGCTCACAGAGAGAACCTGCTGCCGGCGGGGACTCGCAGGCCGGCTGCCGCGCCATAGGCTCCGCTGTGCCCCACGTGGCTCAGCCTGGGGCCATTATTGGCCTGGCTGACTGCCTTAAGAAGCAAGGCCCAGGTCTCCACCAGCACCTGATTTGTTTCAAATTTGTCTCTCAGCTGAGTTTACTAATCTCTGTACGCGCGGTTGGCAGGACTCTCCAAAGTGGGGCGCGCCTGGAAATCCTAGAACTTCTATTCATTTATGGAAAATTTAATCATACTTTAAATGATCTATTTTCCTTGTATGGATGATAATATACATAATACATTAGTTCATTAATATAATTTACAAATATACGTGTTGAGATTGTACGCTTAAACTTTTTAAAAAAAACTTGGAATACGATCAAAAAAGTTTGCAGACCCCAGCTCTACAGCTCAGAAGCAGTTGGTCCTATTTTATGTATGAAATTTGTACACAGCCACCAAGGATATCAGTGAGCTGACACATAAAGACCCAGCATTCGTTATGCTTTTATCTGTGGTTGTGCTGCGGGATTTCTTTCTTTTTTTTTTTTTTCAGGATTTCTGAAGTGTAACTTCAGAAGTATTCACGGTGGCTTTTTAATTATTAAAAAAAACCAATAAGCATTATTAATTTTGATTTTGGTAAATTGGGATTCATTTGGCCAACTCAGAATGCAGTTTCCTAATGTGGCAAGGGGAAAGGAGTCGCGTCCCCTTTTATGTTTGGGTGGCAGGAGGGGGCAGGGGGTTGGCCTGGGGATTCCAGACCCTTGATGGCTCTAGGCCCCAGCGTGTTCGTCACCAGAGCTTCCGCTTGAAATAAGGCAGGACAGGGAGAGGAGACGAGCGTTTAGAAAAGAAATAAAAGCGCTGCATTTTAATGACAGCGTCAGTCTTTGGCTTCCACTGATTGCGTAACTTTTGGCATTCTGGGGTCCCGACTTAAATAGAGACGCTTTTTAGCATCCGATAGTGCGGACAAGCCATCTCCAGGTGGCAGTGACACCCAACCCCCGGGCCTGGGCTTGACCATCGCCGCCGACCCTTTTGCCCTGGGCGTCCTGGGCCGCCTCAGACCATGTTCTGCCAAAATTACTACATCCCTCGAACTGCAACGTAGGGTTTTAGAAAACTGGACACCTTTGCAGAAAAGGTTCAGCAAGATGGAGCGTGAACAAGGAAGCAGCAAGAGAAAAATCACTGCAATCTGACTTTCCTGAACTATATACAAACTACATCCAGTCCTTCAACAGGTAGATTTTAATATATTTGCTTCCAGTGGAAATATTTGTGTTTTAAATGCGTACGGACTGAGGGCGCTACTCTGAAGTACTCTTCATTAAAAAGCAAGTCAGGTGGGAATCTAGACTTTTTTGTAGCTCTCGTGAGATGCTGGCGCGGTCTCAGCTTTAGCGTTTAGGCGAGTGCTGGGCTCAGAGTGGTCAGCGAGAGGGTGGGAACGCGCGCAGCTCCGGGCAAGCCGGGCGGGTGGGGGGAGTTTCGGCGATTTCTTCAGGGAAAAGGGCCACCTGCGGTCCTCGGGCGCTGGGGAGTGAACAGCCGTCGGACCCGCGCACCTAATCTCTGCGCGCCCGCGTCAATGAATCCATTGTTCGCCGCGGCCGCGGAGGATCCGACGCTATCACCCGGTCGCGAGTGACCACATCGATCAGTAGCGCAGGGCCGGAGGGGGGTGGCCCGGCCGCAGCATGTTGACCCTCGGAGATAATCTGCCGAGTCGCCGCGGGTTGACTTGGCGACGCGGCTATGAGCGGGCCGCGAGCTCCGCTTGGGACAAAGATCGGCCACTTTTCTCTTCCCCCTGTGTTTTCTTCTCCCCCTTCTCCCCTCCTCCCCTCTGGACTCTGTCGGCAGCCCCCTTCCCGTCATCTCGGCCTCAGCTGCCACCCTCGACCCAGAGTGTTTACTTTGCACTTCTCGCTAATTGCACATTTCTGTAAATTGGTCTCCATTTCGATGCTTCATTTGCTTCCATTTAATATTTTTGCTCGGCCCTGCAGAAAGAAAAGAGGCGCTCAGCAGAAAAGCAAACCCACCCGCCGCGCTGGTGGGCAAAAATATCGGGAACCTGAGCTGCACAAAAAACGAGGGTGCTGGAGGTGCTCGTTGGAGACACGCTCTCACTTTTCACAAGTAGAATTTTCTGCTGCTTGGTACCTAAAGAAGTGATCCAGGAAGCGAAGGTCAAACAGCCACTTAGTATTGCTATTATTGTTAGATGGGACAACGCTAACAGGATTTTTGGATTGGCTAATTATAACGTATATCCAATGAAAAACCTCACCCTGCAGAACCTTCCACTGAGCGAGATCGTTGCGTTGTTGTATTTCACCTGTGAATGTAGGTCTTGGTACCATAAAACCGCCAAGTCCATTACAGGTGAAATGCATTTCCGCTCGGCATCCCCGCTGACGCCTGCGCCCCTCTCGCCTCCCACAGGCCCAGAGCGATACCGAGCCATTAGGCAAGAGCCTTCCCGAGCCATTTAACAGCAGCTCTTATGGATAAATAAACAAGAAAGGCTGTAAACCAATTATAGTGTGGACAGTGAAAAAGTCGTTTATTAGCATTACGTTCTGATAGCTCTCGCTGATATTGGAGGTCCTCGCCTGCCCTCTTCCCCCTTCCCTTTTCCCCTTCCCTGGACACGTTTGCGCCTTGGAGAACACAGGTTATCTTGTTCTTGGTTAGTGGCTGAGTCTTCCTCGGTGGTTTCACAAGCATGTCAAGGGATGAATTTGGCTTGGTGATAAGAATTTCTAAGCCATCGCATCCCATTATAAGGGGAAAAACATAGATGAACCTCACTGAACTCCAAGGATGTGCTCAAAGTGCATTTAATTTATTAGAGCATATTTGTTTTTATAACTAATTTCCTGCTGAAAATAAAAATTAAATCCTGAGTTGAAACATTAAAGTGAGCAATGTGATGGTTGTAATGCAAATGTTTCCATAATTTACTTTGACTTTTGGTACCTTGCCATTTCCTTCATTGGGCCCTTATGCGGTTAGGTCCGCCCCCCGCCCCCTCCTTCCCCAAGAGCGAATCATCTTTTTCTCTTTGTACTGTGGGATTTCTTCAGAGTCTTGTACCAGGTCTGAGAGGAGCCAGGAAAACCTATCTCCTTCAGGAAAAAGGACCTCAGACTTTGAATGAAAGACTCTCCATTGAATCACAGGGCAAAGCATTCCAGCAAAAATAAGTGGAGAGTGGAAATTATTTTCCAGAAAATTCAGCACTCCCCCCCCATTGTATAGATAAATGTAGCCTAAAATTCTACGTTAAGTGTCCTCTACCTCACTGGCTCTCTTTAGTGTGAAAGAAGTGTAGAGGGGAGACTGCACACCCCAGGACAGTGCTGTGCTCACTCGATCCACCCTAGCGCTTTTTTCCCAAGAGTGGGAACCCCAGACTATCAGCCCTTTTCTCCAGTTTTTGTTTAATCCTTCTGAGGCCTTCAGTTTACATTGCAGCTGAAAGTGTAAAAGGGAATAGAAAGTCCAAAGGGCCTAAGGCCCCCTGCTTGCCCTTCCTCTGGCATCCCTATGGGCCATGCTTGCAGTTCTCATGAGTTCTGTACCATCCCTTTGGCCTGCTGTCACTCAAGTTCTCATCGCTGCTCCATCACCCAGCTAGCACTCTCCAGAAGTCCCAGCCTTCGTCATTTCCCTTCTCCTCTTAGTCCTGGATAACCAGCTCCTTACTTCCATTGAAATTCCCTTTCTTTGCCTTCCACCCCTTCCCATCACTGTTTCTTGTGACTAATCCTTTGTTCTCCTGGGAACGTTTTCTTACCTTCAGGTTCTAGCTGAAGTCCAAAGAAGGCTTGATCCACACTTCCCAGTCACTGCAGCTGCCTTCCTAAACAATCCTGCCTTTCCCATGGTTTATTAGTTTGGAAGGACAAATATTTTCAATCATGTTTTTGATGAAACAACTATACAGCTCTTCCTGTGTGCCTCTCTTAAATTTCTTTGAGGGACACAAACCCAGTAGTAGAAATATGTTCTGGCTTAGGTGGATGATGGAAAGCTCTTGGGAGCTGCCTATACCCCTTCCAAATTGACCTCTGCTCTGCACAAGCTGTGTGTCCCCTGGTAAGGTCCATTAAGCCTCCCTGTCCTTATTTGTGAAGTGGACACAATAGTACTGTGCCACAAACTAGATCCACTGCATAGAGTAATAACAGCACACACGGAGCCAGTCTTTGCTGCAAGCATTTTACAATGTTAATCCTCATTAAAATCCCATGAGGTAGGTTCTCATCTTGCAGTGGAGGAAACCGAGGCACAGAGATGTTAAGTAACTTGCCCAGAATCACACAGTCAGTAAGTGGCAGTCTAGATCCAAGCTGAGGAGGTCTGGCTTTAGAATCCATTGTCTTAGATGTGACACAATACTATCTTGCCCATATAGTAGGTAATCAAGTTTTTGTGAGAATTCACTGAGACAAAATGTCTAATGTTCCTGGCACTCTGTAGGCAACACTCATGTCTGCCTTTCTCCCCTAGTATTGCTTTTCATGCACTTACAAGCATTTAACTCTTGGTCATCACTGCAACCTAAAGAATTGCAAAGCTGTTAGCACAAGCCCACATCTAAGGGCATTCCCAGACAGGTAGACCTGGAAGGTATGTGAGCGAGGAACACTGGAAGGAAGCACTGGGTGGACATATCCCTGTGTTTTAGGGAAATATACCCCAAAGTGCTTAAAGGGGGTGGAGAGGGGAGAGCTAGATGACACTCTCTCAGCACACCCTCCACACACCCGCAGAGAGGGTCAACGTTCAGGGGATTCTCCTTCTCTAGGTCCAGGAGAATCTGAAAGAAAGGCTCTGAGGTGGAAACTAA